ATATATACATAGGTAATATATTATATTATATTATCTCTAGGTAGCATTCAAATGAATTAAAAATGCAGCTATTGAAAGTAATATGGGGGAAACAGGACTGAGTACGAAATTTATTTAATTCTTTTCAATATGAATGCAAACAGAAGAAAAGTATCCCTGCTAGCATACAACAAAAATGCAATGCAGTGCTAAAATGTGCCTAATGATAAAGTACAAAATCAAAGAACAATAATTTTACATGGTAAAATATTGCAACAATAATTTTACATGGTAAAATATTGCAGTTGGCTTGAACTCCCACTTGCCGACTGATCACTTTATCTGTCTTTTAAAATGGATCACAACTCTTCTATGCACAATTAAACAACAATGTACATTTTTCACACAACTACTTCACATTCTATAATATTAAATACTCCTCTGAATCACTGCCTTGTTTACAGAATATATAGAACATAGAATATCTGCTAGCTCTGCATGCCTGGTTCAAAAGGCCATTTTAAACAATAATATAAACATTATAAGCATTTTCTGCAGACACTGCATAGGCATTAAGCAACACTACGTATTCAGAATACAAATAAGCATAGTAGGCCATTCAAAATATCACATATAGCCATGAAGATCATGTATTATCACCTCAAATAGCACAAACAGAATTCTCATACTGGCTTTGACCAGTACTGCAGAAACACAGAAAGTTTCATTGCAGGAAACATCCTTTCAACACAGTGAATGGCAGCCTGTGAAGATTCAATTTATATTTGGGGTTGAACTGTTTCTAAAAGAATGAAAGGCTGATGCCAGTGACTTGGTGCAAATGCAGTGACATCCCCTCAGAGGTATCAAACCAACCACTGCATCGAATAAAAATGATACTACTGTCCTTCAAAAATCAACTGGAACTGTGAAACACCATAGAAAGATTTTACACCACTGAACACAATGTAACATTAAAAAAATACAGGGACACGAACAGAAACCATATCCAGTAAATGACAAATATAGAAGACTCCTGTCAATATTTCTATTTCTTAAGAGTAATCCATAAAATTCTAATTGCATCGCTGTCAGTGATGACTTACTGTAGCATTAGCTCAACTAACACAACGCACTCAAGTATCTCAAAAAAACTCAAAACAACCTCTTTCCATGGGACACAGTCCTTCAGGAATGTACTGCTCCAGTGATGCCGCAGGTCCTGGGACAAAATTTTCCCCTGTGTGGACTCCTCTCCATGAGCTGCAGCCTTCCTCAGGAAATCACCTTTTCCTGGCGTGGGGTCACGCACAGGCAGCAGGAGGATCTCCACCATGGACCCCATGGGCTGCAGGGGCACAGCTGCCTCACCACGGGCTGTGCCACAGGCTGCAAGGGAATCTCTGCTCCACTGCCTGGGGCACCTCCTGCTCCTCCTTCTGCACTGACCCCGGTGTCTGCTGGGCTTTCTCTCACATTTTCTCATTTCTCTCTCTTGACAGCTGCTGCCCAGTGGTTTTTACCCTTTCCTAAACATTCCATCCCAGAGGTGCAGTGGGAGCTCAGCTGTGCCCAGTGGTGTGTCCAACACAGGGCATCCCCGACCTCTTCTCCCAGAGGCCACTCCTGCAGCCCACACCTTGCCAATAGAGTAACCTACTGTTTGGGCACATTCTTCTGAAGACATTTTTATTGGACTACAGTTAGCTGTAATTGTAAATCTGTGTTATATAAACACATTAATATCAAACTGCTGTAACTGTTCCATAGGATAATACAAGATGGCAATGATAATGACTAAGTGTTTCTTGGTCATTCTTCTTAAATGTTTCTGTAATTAAAATTGTGAACACTATTTTAAACACACGTTCTTGGAACTGGAAGACAAGGAGAAGACAGGCTGAGAAATGGGAAGATCTGTTCTTCCAAACAGCATTTACTCCATCTGACTCACAAGGCACTTGAAATAGAAGAGCAATGGCTTAACAATATTCATTTAATTCATATGAATATAAACAGAAATTCATTCATGTCCTTACTTCTTGGGTCTATTTAACACCATTTCAGATTAATACTGACTCATTACAGGCCATGCTTATCTTTACCAAGGAAATTAGACGACTAGAACCCTACTACCTTTAGAACTTCCTATTTCTGTGCTATAGTGACAATCCCATAGAGATTGAAGTCCACTGTAATAAACACTTCTGGATATTTTTTTTATTATTACCTTTAATACAGTTTAGTGATTTTCATCTAAAACAGGATCTCAAATATTCACAAACATGTAAACTGTGTGTACATTAGAGCATGCACACCACATATGTATGAATCTTAGATGACATTTCTTTTGTCCCACTGAAATAACATATCAAGCCAAAGCATTACTTATCTATCTGAAGTGCAGCTATGCTCTCAGCACTCTCACTTGGATTAAAAGAATTCAAATGCCATAACTTGTGTGCTTCCCCCTGACTGCCACCAAATTATACAAAATATTATGTATCGACATCAACTCACTCACTGGAGCATGTTGCCTGAAATTAGGAATGTTATGTGCATTAATTTTTTCTTCTGTCAAGGGAGTGCAGAACTGAGAGTACTTGTTTCAGTCTAGTATTACAACATTGTTGCATAAAGCATTTTGCTTTCAAGCCAAGAATTCCCCACAAACCATTAATTTAAGATGTTCTATTCATTATCATCTGACATTATTTCTTCTTAAATATGTAGCTCAGAAACTGCTGACAAACTACTTGAAATAATTTTTTAAGTGTATCACATAACCCTCTGGCTAAGGCTAACTGAAAACTAATTAAAATCATTAAGATGATGATTTGAACAAGAACAGGAAAAAGTGTCTACATGAAATTATGAGGAAAAACTAGGTATCACTTGACTAAATCGTGCTGTTAGACACAGTGCTTCTCATTTGCAAAAAATGAGCATTTCTTTCCCTCTCAAAGGGGTTTTTGACCTTTTAAGGCACCAATGTCCTCAACCCTCCTCAGACTAACTTGTTCATCTTCTGACCCAGTGCTCAAAAGATATTTTTCTTCCTTTATGGGCATAAATAAAACTCCCTAAACTGTAAATATAATATGCTACCAAATTAAATAGATTTCTACTATATCATCAGAACATTATTTCAGACTTCTGATAAAAAGGCAAGAAGGCAAATAAGAAACAAGTTGTATAACACCTGATAAATAAAATTATGCATATAATTTTCCTTCTGTAAATATGCCAGTCCCTAGTCTAGACTCCTCCCACTGAGAAAAAAAAACCAAAAAATCTTCAAGCCCATGGTCATCAGAGAAGAGAACACAGATTTAAATCTCTTCTATCTGCCAAGAAGACTGAGCATCACATACCGACAATTGCTTTCACAAATCCAAGGGGGAAGAGTAATGAAGGAAATTTGGAACAGAAAGAAAATTCCAGCGGCGTGACTGAAAAAAAGAATGTTGCTCTCGTTCCACTAGCCAAGATGGCTGATAAACTATGTCTGTTATCTCCAGCTTGAGCAACAGTATCAAGCACTAATGAAATAGTTCAGGAAATGGGTAGCAGTATATGCCAAGACTGGATGAAAGCCAGTTTAATAAGGAATTTGAAAGAACCTTCTTTATCTGGGTAGATGAACTCAATCTAGCATGATAATCCAAATGTCTGGACTCAGATAAACTGAACATCCATCTTGAAGCTGGGAGTCCTGCCTTTGCCAGAGGAAACAAAGCATAGAAGGTACTTCAGCCATGCACCTTAGATAAGATGCCATCCACACCTCAGGGTGACATTGGTAAACCTACAGAGCACACTGAAAGCCTTTTTTTTTTACAAGTGAATGATATCTAAGATGGATTGTGCATTAGTACATTTATTGCACTAATGATGAGTGCATATGTTCAGGTTTTGTTTATACTGCTGCTTCTAAAGATTCACGTTGTTTATATTTCCCAATTTCCTTATTCAAAAATCAGGGAGGAACACTTTCTCGAGAACAACAACTTTTGAAGAGATTTTATATAAACACCTAAGTACACTATGGGTCCTTTAAAGACCTCATTGAAAGAGATGTAAAATACTGGGACATTCATCTGCAATGCTTTTAAGTATTATGGATATATGTATACTAAGTTATAAGACTAATTCAGAAGTCCCACAATGCTACAAGCAGTGATTTTATCTCGTGGTCTTTTTGTTTTGCTTACTTTTAGGTGATAATAGCTGAAGATCAGTTTATAAGCACCAAAGCAGATGCTAAGCTGAGCTCCAGGCAATCATAGGCCAGGAAACAGGTATCAGTACTTGGTGGAAATTCTTAACATGCCTAGCTAAAAACTAGAAAAAAGAACAACTGGTATTTTTTAGGCTAGTGAATAGTTTAAAACCAGTGGCCAGACTTTATGTATTTCTGTGGGTGAAGTACTAAGGTAACTACTATATTACTAGGGTGAGTTTCTAGTTCAGCATAATGCACAGTTTGCTGCTGTGGAACAAGGTCCAACTCTGTGCAGTGCAAAAAATACATTAAGTAATAGTATCACAACTATCTTTTAAAATCAACAAGTATAATATCATTGAGACACTTTGTTTTTGGATACCTTTGCTTTTTCACTCACCTCTTCTTCCCTCTCAATCTCTTTATAACAGATTTTGATTCTCTTTCAATGAGAATACCTAAGTCTATCTTCCTTTTCTGTCTTACTGAGACCTGTCTGGCTGTTCCTGTTTCTAAGACTACTTCAGATTCATTTCCATGTCACCCTTCTGTTTTCTTTCGACCTTCCCCAATAACACCAAGTTTCTATTCCTTCTTTCTAACCTTTACACTCTCCACATAAAAAAACCAAACCTTTGATTTGCAAAATATCCCTCACAGAAATCGCTTGGAAAATCTGAGCATTCCACTTAAACAGACTCAGATGGAGCAGCATTTTAAGAACAGTACTGCCAATAAATGCTGGACAAACACATAATCTAACACTGAAGAGAAACAAAGCAAAATAAAGACGAACCCGATGGCATCCCTTGACCCGAGGACGGCTTCATGGGCGCATTCACCTGATCCCAGTTGAGATCATCATCATCTGACTGACTGTAGCCACAGGAACTGAGAGGCTCATCAAAAGTGCAGCACCCTGTTAAAGAAGCACACAGATAAAAGTTAAGGCATGTACAACAAGATGGATTATGAATCTCCAATCCTAACAACTGCAACATCACTCAAAGCAGGTTGTGTCTAAACATCTTTTAATACAAATTATTATCTATTTACTAATCTTCACTTTCTGAGAAGGCAGAGAAGTTTCTTGTCATGAAAACAAAATCCTAAGGGAAAAAGAGCAAATTTAGAATTGCGGACAAATTTTCTCTTATGATCCAATCACCAGGTATAAAAAACAAAATAGCAAAATAAATAGCAGTAAAAATCAGAATATTAGAAGATTGCACTATTAACATTCTTCAGGGAAAAAAATTATTCCATGCCTAAGGACCTACATTTTAGAAGAAAACTGAAAGGGTGGGAACATCAGCTTTTACTCCTGTATCTTGCTTTCCAAGCAAGGAAAAACCTACATGCTCCCAGGTATGCTGCACTGGGAACAGGCCATTTGTGGCACAACACAGCACATCTCCCTCAAAATGTCAATCTATGCTCAGTCTCAGAACCTCTGAAAAAAAAAAGTATTATTTCCTCTTTTTTTTTTTTTTTCCCCTCCTCACTCTCTTCTAAGTAAATTAGAAGAGAATAACATCTTATAAAAGCGCACACTCCCTCAAGTTGGGGTAGGGAAAAAATTAATGTCCCAAATTCAGAAGAATGCAGTTTAACATCATCCACAAGAAAACAGAAAAGCTTTGCTTTTTTCCTGTGGAACAGAGGAAACTTCAGCTTTTTTACATTGCTATCATCTAACAGGAGGGTTACAAAATTCTGTTCTATTTGATGTTTCACTCCAGTGAAGAATGACATCTTTCCTGTTTCTGAAAATAAATAGAACTGTAGTCAGAGATATTTCTGTCCATATTAAAGGAAATTCTGCAGCTGTTCAAACAAAACTAAACTTTAGGGATATTCATCACATTTGCTATCTGTCCAAAGGCACAGTAGGTTTAGCCCTGCCAAGCTGCATTAAAATAGGAAACAGACAAAATCTAGCTTAAAAAATTACTTTTAAAATCTGAATTTTCCTAGAGCACTATAAATGACATTACAGAATACCATATTGTCCCATTTTCACTAGGATAGAATTAATTCCTGCCCAGGGCTTAAAACCACAACACTTAACAAAAAGTAGAAGACAAAATTCCATTACACCTGACAAATACCACTTAACTGGAGTCCAGCCTTCCTAATAACTAGTCCAAGTCTATATCTGAGATTCATAGCAAGAACTCTGCAAGCATATAATCTTCAATAGAAATTATTTTTACATGCAATCACTAAGAAATTTAGTTTTTTCTTCTCTTAACAGTGAGAATATTACATTGGCCTTTACAGACATACTGTGTTTGCCCTGCCCTCCAATACAGGTCATCCTGTACTAGTCTCTGTTCTAAAATATCCTTCTATAGGAAATGTCCAATACATTCAAGTATATGAGGGAAATGAGCACCTCTGGAAACTGCTTTTTTCGGTACAAATTTAAGTGCAAAGGATTCAATTAGATAATCCAACGGGAACAGAAAACCCATTAAAAACCTCACAACTCCAAACTCCAACATTTTGCCTCAATGTTAACAAGAGATATAAACTCTCTCTCTCTCTCCTGAAGTCAAAAAAATCCAGAAATACATGAGATTTTTATAGAGTATATTAAATAACATCTGCAACATTTCCAGGGGGAAAGCTTAGAAATTTAGGCAGTCATTTACACATTTTTTTCTAGTACTTGAATTGCTTGCGTAAATATTACTTTAAACTTCATAAAATACACCACAAGCTAAGTTTCAAACATACAAGCTGAACATCAACTTTAACAGATACATTTGTGTTTTTTTATATAAAATAAAAATAAAAAGGAAAGGCAGTTTCCTTGCCAAAGTACTGCTAATGATAATAGGACATAAATTTAAACACCAAGTTATGTAGCCTGCAATGTAGTCAAGCTTGGCAAAAAATACCAAATAGAAGTTGGCATAAATCAGCATTTACAATTCCAACCAAGACCAACGAATATATGGAATAGCTCCCACACTTTATTACATCAAACATATCTCCAGTGACAAGACAAAATAGTATAGCTTTCTTCCTCAAATCCATAGGCCCAGCCGAGCATTGCAAAATATCCAATACTGGGAAAAAGGCAAGATTTGTGTTTACAGATAGTTAATAAAGGCTTCTGCCATTCTCATGAATAAGGAAGATGTCAAAAACGTGGATAAATAGAATGATGGTTCTGTTTTTCTAGACCATTTTTCTCTCAACACAGGATCCTTTCTCACTGCCTGTTTTTCTTCATTTCTCTTGCAAGTCTGCAGCTAAATCACACTCCTAGGATTTCTTTTTTTTTCCATCTTTGCCATTTACATCCTTTGTTGTATTGCTATTACTGTAACTTCATCAAAATAGGTATCAGATATTCATGTCTGCTACAGGAAGAGTTTTAAAGGAACTTCTGAACTCCTTCAATTCCCATAAGGCTTCCACCCACAAGTAATAAAGAAAGTTCAGCAAGTATCACTGCAAGTAATCAAGCTGTACAGTCACCTATCCAGAGCACTGACTGCCACACATTAGATCTTTAATAGCACAGGTGTCAAGCCATGTTTTTTTTGATGGCGAGACACTGAGGTTAAGATGAATACTAATAAAGGCTTTGCACAGCCATGACTTCTTGTTAAGTCTTGTGCAGATTAAAACAGAATACATGGCATGTATTGGTGTTGGAAATGAAGGCCAGCTTGTAACACAGAACATCTTAGTGGAAAAAAACAAACCCCGGAAAACCCACTTAGCCAAACCAGCCAAGAAATAATCAATGTAAATTAAGAGTCATCAACGATCCTAGTGGCTTATGACCAACTCCTGGAAGTTCTGCCTCTCACATTTGACCATACTACAAGATGAAATTCCTTAGAAATGGGTCATCAACCTTTGAGAAACCCCTACGTTTGCCTCTCCTGAAGCCGCCCTGGCTGCCACTGCAGTGCTTCCTCTATTTTCTAGTCATGGTTCTCTTACTGTGAAAGATTTTCAGCTCATGAAATGGACCCATGGTATCAACAAGGACTGGTAAAGTCTGAGCAATTATCAGGTCTTTAATGTCTCTCATCATCACACTGTTTTGAAACACAAGCCACTGCCAAGACAGGCTGCTGTTTATAATCAACCCGCTCACTTGAGAAATCTGCTCATTTTTTGCTACTAGAATTGATAATAATAATCAAAACACATATTGGCTGTTACACAGTTTAATCAAGCAAAGCAATTTCCCTGCCTGTTATACTGATATCACAGTTTGGATGGCCAAACCATATTTTAAAGGATGAACTCCTTGCTGACTGAAATATTTATAAGTAAAACAGAAGATATATATCCCATTAAGATTCTTTGGCTTGTGCTGCATTTTATAAATATTTTTGGATTCCTAAGGGGAACTGAATTTACAAATGCACAAAATGCAACACAGCCTATTGCAGCCTATGGTTCTTTCAACTGCAATTATCCATTTAACCATCATGAACACAGTTCAATGTAACTATGACATTGTCTGAGTGTAGTCCTTTTTCGATGCTTCAATTTTAGCTGTCTAAATTACTTTAGATCTTGAAAAATTTATCAGCTTAAACAAGGAATATAATTTAAGATGAAAGCAACCAATTAAAGTAACAGGGATAAAGAATACACTGTATTTTTCGTAATTTATTCCAACTATTTTGTGTTTTACAGACCCTTGACATCTGTTATGAAGCATTCTCAAAGAATACCTTAGCAAATAGTAGGATACTACAAATCCTTTAAGTGACAAAAAGTAACATAGAAAAAAGTTCCAATTATGCTGGACACTACTTTATTTCTCTTGATTTTGTATACTTCAGAGATCTCAGATCAATATCTACTTTCCATCAAAAATTTGCTGCTAAGTGTACAAGTGCTAAAACTAGGAATTCCTATGTCACTGGCAGGGAACATAAGTGCATACCAGAACTAATGTAATGTCCCTACTTTGGGATAAAACATTTTTTTTTTCTTTGCAGCAGAGCCCCATGGTTTCTGATCTCACACAGTACCATGAATTCCGCTGCAGAATATGTGAACCCAGAAGATAAGTTTACTGAATCCCCTGTTTTCCTAGTATTCTTCCTTTTCTCATTTAAAAAGTATTCTGAACCCTGCTGTCTCTGTTATTTTCGGTTTCATACTGGAAATGGGGTTATGTTGATTAACTCTAAGTGCAATGTAGCTATACTTTGAAATAGAAATTAAAATATATCTGATATATTTGATATCTGATCTGAAAGCAGGGACGCCTCGACCCCATTTTATATCAGGAGTCTTGGATATTTCAGGGAAAGATACATCTCATATTAGGCAATTTATCTTTCCTTTCTGTCTGTAACAAAAAAAAGAAGCCTCTGCCCAAACCAACAACACAGCATTCTTCAGGCAACTGCATTCCCTCCTGAATGAACATGACTGCATCCAAGAGCAATGGGCCAAGTGCATCACCCAGACAACATACCAAGGCAAAAGAAAACTGAAATAGCTGAAAATCCATGACAAACGGCAATTGTTAAGATTGTGAATGAGTCAGCTTATCCTCAAGGGTTACTGCTCAGGACAATCATACTATCTAGACACACTCACAACAATATAAAGTGATCTGAGAAACACAGCATTAGGAAAATAGGATCCTATGCCTCTAAGCTGACAAGCCATCCCATCAGAGAATAAACAATTTCTCCTTTGGGGGAAGATAAGGAGTCATGAAGAGGAGAATAAGCCATTCTCAATTATAAACTCACTATTAGAGAAAGCAACAGTGAGAATAAATGTATAATTTTTAACATTAAAAAAAAATTGAACTGCTGCCTGTAAACCTGTACCACAGGCCTGGTCTGCTGTATAATTTCCACTATAGATGGGGTGATGACAGAAATTGCCTAGTTCAAAACCATTTGCTTCTCTGAAATC